CGAACTCCAGACGACTTAGGAATCTTCTACAACTCTTCCAGACAGTCTCCTTGTCTAAGTTGGTGAATGCTTTCCATAAACCTTGCCTTCAGTTCATCTTTGGTGTTACAAGGATTTTTGTTGGTCTCTCGCTCAACTGCGCCCCACACATAGTGATCGAGAGTGTTGCAGTCTAGGGAGTTATGTCGTTAGATGTAAGGGGTGATGTGATCGTAGAAAATGTCTGACAGACATAACTAGGTTCTCCTTCTTGTGCGGCATGGTGCAGTGTCCTGTTGCTAGACATAGAGTCTCCCAGAAGTCACTCTCTTGATCCAGGTCAACGCTATCTCCTCAAGACTCTCGACGTAGGCCTCCGTATTGAGTCAGAAGCCCTCACCAAGAAATACAGAAGTTCTTCTCTTATCAGAAAGATCAGAGTGAATTTTCCGAGATGCCGTACATTCGTAATCAGCATTAGACTCATCCAACTATTTCTAAATTCTCTGCACTGTCCTCAGATTGACACCCAAACACTCTGAAATCTTCGTGTTGGAGCGAATATTATGCAGTACAGAAAGCCATTTCCAAATTTAGTTATTTGCATCATAGTGCTCTATTTTTCACACACGGTGCCCAACTGTGCAGTCGAATCCCCCCCCCAAAAAAAACACATATGCGCATATATAATGTAATTTACCCACGCACGCATGGACTCTTCCAGCTATAAATAGGAGCAGGTACTGCTTTTGGAAAGTTTTCAGCAGTTTTTCTGACAGTCGGACCGAACATTCTTGCTGTAACACTCTCGTTTGTATATGTTTGTATTAGTGTTTCTGTTAATATATTTGTTTAACTTAATTCCTCTCTTTGTGTCTTTATTTCTGGCCCTAACAAGGCCACAACATATAATTAATTGTAGAAAAAGTTTTCACATACTTAAAGTTCTCATTACAAAAACAAGAAAACCGAATGCCAACTAGATCTTCAGTTTGGAGTTATTTGGTTATTTTCATGTATTTGCAAACTTTCATCTAAATTTCAGTTGGTTTTCATCACAACTATTCAGACTGTCAGGAAATTTATGCCAATTTTGTGACAAAGAATGTGGGTTCATCAGCAGGTCTGTAGAGTAATATCAGAGTGCAAATAGAAATGTTTCATCTGCCATATATGTAGGAAAAACTGCACGTGAAGCATTCTACAGCCATTTACATGCTCACTGTTGCTGAATTCAAAATTGAAGTGATGGATTTCTGCCAAAAAGTGTCAACCGCTCTTTATATATTCATAACTAGAAATAGACAAATTGCAAATAATCAGTTGTCGGATCCTGACGCTTTTTTGTCAATGTATATTTTCATTAGACATAGAATCTCGCGCAAGTAATGTTAGGAAACTTCTAGATAGTTTTAAATGAAAAGACTTTAGAATAATAGCATCTGATGCCGGAAAACGGTTCGAACAAAATGGAGAAGACAATCATGAAAGATGGCATCAAGACATTTTCCATACACATTGTCCTTCATTCCGACCTGAAGAAGCCCAACGTAACAGACGTCACGTCGGTGAAACGCGTCGTTTTTAAAGATTTTCCACCTTTGTCTCATCCTCTCCACTTCGGATACCATTATGCATTCAGTAAACACACACACACACACATATATATATATATATATATATATATATATATATATATATATATATATATATATATGAAGATATATATATATATATATATATAGAGAGAGAGAGGGAGGGGAGATAGAGAGAAAGAGGGAGAAAGAGGGGCATAAGAATTGGTGAGTCAGTTTCACGCATCAATGCAATTTTCAAACCAGATCTGAAGCTCGCATTGAAGCGTGAGACTGACAGTTATAGGCGGAGGTTTTCAAGTTTACATTATTCGAACCAATTAGTATATATATATATATATATATATATATATATATATATATATATATATATATAATCTTCTTGCGGGCTTTTGCGAGATGGATTTCAAGATAGAGATAAAAGTTAAGAGAACAATAGAAGTTTGAGTTAATAGATAATCGTATAATCTTAGTTGTAAACACCCGTATAATTATAACGGGTCAAACTAATAATTTTCATTTGTTCTACTCAGTACATGCAAGAATTATGCTAATAATAATAATAATAATAATAATAATAATAATAATAATAATACTGATCCTTGTTGATGCCTCGACCAGCATTATCTTATTCCTTGAATTCATCGTCATGGGAACGATATTAAAAAATCAGTTTCAAATATTGTTTGTTATTTCACAGTTCAACAAACAAAATGGCCGATTAACTTCTCATTGCATGCAACCTAATGCATTATTATTTTGTTATATCGTTTTATTTTTCTAAAGATTCTTTACGTTATTTTTTTTTATTGCATTCCCGTTTAAACCAATCAGACAACGCTTGAAAATAGAGAATAGTTGATGAGAAATGATTCTCTGTTTTGCTGGAGAAAAAAAAAAGGGAAAAGAAAAAAACAGATTTCGATTTTACGAGAAAAGATTTGGACAGCGGAGAAATTAGAAAGATTCACAGATTGGCTGTTAAAACAGAAAAACGAAGAGCAAGCAGTCAGAAAAGAGAAAGAATATGGCAGAGGAAAAGTGAATAAGCAAAAATAATGTAAAACAAGGAAAACACGTAAGAAGAAAAGACGAAGAAGAGCGAAAAAATGCATACGATGTACATTTATATTTAAGTGGAAGAAAAAAGAAGGAAAATGAAGAAGGAAGCAAAATAAAAATTAGAAAAAAAGAAAAGAAATGAATGAAAACGTGAAGAATAAACTATAAGAAAGAAAGAAATCGAATAAATGAAGAAAGAGTAAATAGAAGAGGAAATCCAAGAAATAGTGTTATAAATGGAAAGAAAAACAGGGAAATTGAAAATGAGGAATGTAAAACCGGAGAACTGATAAAAAAAAAAAAAAGAGTAAATGAAAGAAAGAGAGGAGAAAGAAAAAAAATCATGACGACAAAACGAAAAATGGTGTCAATAAAAAAAAATTAAAAATCAAAACGAAGGAAAAGGATAAGAAGGAGGAGGGGAAGAGGAGGAGAAAAAGAAGAAAAACGAAGAAGTGAGCGAATGAAAGAAGAAGAAGAAGAAGAAGAAGAAGAAGAAGAAGAAGAAGAAGAAGAAGAAGAAGAAATGTACGAGGAAAGAAGCAAGATAAAAATCTGAAAAAAGAGTCGATGGGGAATAAAAATCAAAATAAGGAAAGACGGAGAAAAAAGAAAGAGAAAGACCGAAGAAAAAGAGATAAGAGTAAAAGAAGGAAAGAAAAATGAAAAGAAGAAAAAGCGATTAAGATGGAAGAGAAGGAAAGAAGAAGAATGGAACAAATAAAATAAGAATAGAAAAATAAGAAGAAATGAAGATTGAGAATTAAAGAAGGAAACAGAATAAAAGAATAAAGGTAAGATGAAGAAAGAGAATGAAAAAATAAGAATTAGAAGAATGGGGAAGGGAGATGAGAAAATTTAGAATTCCATCGAAAAAGTGAAAGGAATAAAAGCAGATTAACTGAGAAGCATTGAATAAGGGAATAAAATGAATGAAAAAGGCAAAGAAGAAAATGGAAGAAAAAGATGACGATAATTGAGAGGAAAAAAATAAAGCAAAGTCATTTTTTTCAGAGAAGAAATAAACAAAATTCGGAAGAAAAAATAATGGAAAAGGGAATGAAAAATAATTAAAAAAGGGAAAATGAAAAAATGAATATTGAATGAAGGGAGAATTGTTAATGTGAAAAAGAAACAATTCAAAAGAAAAGAAAAAGAAAATTTGAAGAAAACAGTGAAAAGAAAGATAACAAAGGAAAAATAAAAAGAATATGCAAAATGGCAGAAATTCTACGAGCGAGAAATATAAATTTATGAAGTAGATAAAATGTATTAAGAGTGAGAGAGGAAAGAAAAGAGAAAAAAAATAGGAGAAGCAATAATAAAAGTGGAAGAAATTAAAAGAAAGAAAACCATAATAAAAGAAATATTGTGTTATAAATAATCAAGAGTGGTCTCCCCTTGTTTTGTTACTCTCCTCTTTGAGAGAGCTATTTCTGTTTACTGGGACTATAAATGGACACTGTATGCGAACCTTTATTCTTAGTTGAATAAAGCTTTCTTAAAGCCTACACCTGAGTACTTTTGTCATTACATTTTGCAAACTAAATAGGAAAGAAAAAGTTGATTATAGAAAGAGATAAGAAGGAAAAAAAGAAGGAAAAAGGAAATAAGAAAATAAAAAAAAGAACGAAATTCCCCCAAAAATAAAGAAAAAAAAAGAAAAGCATAAAGAAAAAGCGAATAGGCCATCAAGAGATGTAAAAAAGAAAATAAGTAAAGCGTAAAGTGAAAGAGAACTTAAGAGGAAAGTATAGAAAAAAAGAAAAAAACAAAACTCCAAAAAAAAGAAGAGAAAACAAAAATCGAATGAAAAACTGAGAAGACAAAGAGAAATAAAGTAGAAGACATAAAAACATCTGCAAGTAAAATAGTAATTGTGAGTTCAATTCCTGCGCCGGGCAGCGTGTACTTGGACTCAGTAGAAACGAGGCGATTAATACTAAATAAGTGCGAGACGTGATATCCCGAGACATGGTCAGCGGAACGAGAACAATCTACACTGTAAATTAAATAAAGGGTTCAGTTCAAAATTCCCTGAAGGTTATCCAAATCGACAGTCACTTGATGAAGGCTGGCGGGCACAATGACTGTAATGTTCTGATAGTAACAACAAAGGTAAGGACAAGAGTCCGCATGTAAATAATGATAACTCCTCATCTCAAAAATTCAGAGAGAAAAAAAAATAACTTGAAAGTCAATAAAAATAAAGAACTTTTAACAAAACATTGTTACCCATTGATATTTCCTGAGGAACGAAAACGATAAAAAAAAAATTAAATAAATAAAAAACAGGCGTAAAACTATAAAACAGATTAGATCTATAAAATTGGAAAAACACTATACTGCTTGTATAATGTCATTATGGCGCGCTTAAGTACAATAAACCGGGAAAATTATCGGGGGATAGTCTTTTCGAAGCCTCGGGCAGTTCTGGAAAGATTTTAGTCAGTACTAGAGATGTTTTGAGGGAAACAGTTCTTACAAATCTCAATTATTATTGAAAATAGTTTTTTCTTCTTGCTTACTTTCTCTCACGTAGTTGGGTTTTTTTTTGTAGTTGATTTTTTATATTTCCTTCAAACTTGCATACTCTTCCTATTTACATTTTCCCTTTCTTTCTTTCATTTTTCTATCATACGATTTTTCTACTTTTATGAAATTTTCTTTCAGTAGCACCATTTTTTTTTTACTTTTGTGACTTCTTTCTTTCTTTCTTTCTTTCTTTCTTTCAGACACGATTATTTCTATTATTCTACTTTTGTTTTCTGTCATTCTTTCTTGCTTTCTTTCTTTCATAACGAATTTTCTACTTTTATGTCTTCTTCCTTTCTTGTTTTCTTTCAGACAATTTTTTTCTATTTTTCTACTTTTGTGTTTTCTTTCTTTCTTTCTTTCTTTCTTTCTTTCTTTCTTTCTTTCAAACGTTTTTATGCATGCTCCCTCCTGTTCATTACATTAATTTCTTTCTTTCTTTCTTTCTTTCTTTCTTTCTTACGAATTTTCTACTCTTGTGATTTCTTTCTTTTTTCTTTTACACAAAATTATTTCTACTTTTGTGTTTGTTTGTTTGCTTCTTTGTTTCTTTCTTTCAGAGACGACGTTTTCTACTCTTTCTTTCTTTCTTTCTTTCTTTCTTTCTTTCCATTTTTGTAATTTCTTTCTTTTTAGGAAAAATAAGAAGCCTGGAAGTGCTGTACGGTAAGAAGAAGAGAGATAAAGGAAAGGAAAACAAAGACTAGATGTTCATGGATTTTACTCATGAACATGAAGCCTTTTTTGTCTGTTTGTTTGTCTCACACACATGTACACACACCTGCCTAAACGCAAGAGCTAACGCAAATATATTCATAAAATCGTATATTGTGGGTATATATTTATATAATGACAAACACGAACAAACATCACTCTGATGCCCATATGTATAAAAATTAGCGCGCGATTACACAGACCCACAATACTGTGACAGTGGCACGCACTGAAAATTATATGGATAGATTTAAACGAATAGAAATGCATCTAAAATGATAGTTTGAAATAATAAAAAAATGTATGAAACGAATTAGTTTTGGTACACAAAATGAAATCATGTAATATGTTCACAGCCATGTGAACACGTGTATATGTTGAATAGTTTGATTTAGAAAAAAAGAAAGAATTATTTGAAAAAGAATTTCAAATAAAAATGTCATTCAGTGAATTTAAATTGGACATCAGTTTGAAGAAAAAAAAACAGGTAAAAGCATTTTATGATATAAAATATAAAATCATACAAAAAATATATAAGCGACTTTGCAAAACACATTTTGCATAAGTAATTTATCGGAATCGAATATAGTGTGTTTTGGGAAAACTATTCCAAGAGTTGATGGTCTTGAGAATTGTGTCTTTTTCTTTAGGCAAACTTCCATTGTTAGATCAGTCTACGAGTGCTATTGGTACCATTATATTTAACATTTAATATTTCGGCAAAGCCTCGTCCGGGTTCCTCTCTGCTCAAGGCAGAGTGTTCGACAGATGAACAGTTTGAAGCTGTTGGTATCATGCAATTTAGTACTACTTGTTGCATGATCATCAGCGGTCCCCTCACCAAGCCTTTCTGGTGAGGAGTGTGGATAGATTGGATTAAAAAAAAACATGGGTTTGTCAAAGTGCTGATGAATCTTCTAGTAGGATCAATGGACATCTTATCCAATGGGACAGACTGGGCTTCATAGATATAAATGCAACCATTGAGGTGATAGAACAACATCGCTGGACAGAGGTTTTTCTAGACTGGTCAACGACCTGGGCGGAAAGTTCCCTCTCCGAAATCAACGACCACATTTTCGTGACAAGGTGGAACATCAAGTTGAAGGTGAGCGCTCATCCGCAAGCTTCGAAACAGAAAGATCCAGCAAAGAAATTTCAAGAACTGTCAATGATTTTGATTGAATATTTTCGCCTAAACGTTTATTTACTTTTATAATGCAATCAAACTAGACATTGGGATCCACATCCAGTGGCGGCAGTCAGTTTAATGCTTAAACGCAATATTCAGAATGTCCTGAAGATTGCGTTTAAGCATGAAACTGGCTGTCGCTGCTAGATGTTGACCTCAGTGTCCACGTTTGTAGTTACATGCGCTCTATCTCTGATATTGAGCACTTTAACCCATAGACGAATCTTCCAGTTATGGAATCACTGGAACAGTTTTCTCAGTTATCAAGTCCTTTCTAATGGGTAGGTCACTGAAGTTAGTTGTAAACAGGCCAGTCTTCTGAGGCCCAAGTGACAAACACAAGCATACTCAAAGCTACGTTCCCCGGTTCAACTCTCTTTCTACTTTACATTAATGATCTGCCTGAGAGTATAATTCGGTCTTTTGTTGTTATCTACGCAGAAGATACAACAGTATATAGGTGCATTTCCAAAAATTCTAGATGGCCTAAGCCTGGCAGCTGATCTCTTGCTCTGACCTAGCTCAAACAGCTCAGTGGAGGACAACCTGGCTGGTCACATTAAATGCCATAAAAATCAAGTTAGCAACTCTAAATTTTCACTTGTCGGGATGAACGAATGTTAGGGAGGCCGTGTGTCTTGAGCGTCTGTTGGGGCGTCTTACCCCAGGCCTCAAGTGGAACTCGTACAGCCATCGCTAAAGATGCGTTGAAAAACTACCAGTTACCTGTGCCGCTTTAGTAAGTATCTAACTCCTGATATTTTTTACTTTTACGAGAATCTGATCAGGCCGAATATGGAATACTGTTGCCATATATGGACAGGGGCTACACAGTCTTCACTTTCCAGTCTCGATAGAGTTCAAAAGCGTCTCCGCGGCCTCGAGGGGTAACGAATTATTTCTCACCCTATAACCTTTTTTCTCACAGACAAAACGCTGCAAGCTTCTCGCTACTCTATCACTATTTCCATGGAAAGTGTTCAGAAGAACTACATTCCTTAGTTGCACCTTCCTGGTTAAGCTCCGCTATACCACGCACATTCCGTCCGTGTTCCCCTCGAGCAGATTCTTCCGACGAACCGCTATTTTGTGGAACAGACTCCCAAGCGGTTGGCTACCCGATAACTACAATCTTGATCTGTTCACGTCTACGATTAACCGTTATCTTCTGCACATATCCTCCTAAATGGTGGTTCTTGCTCCGTGACATTCTACCTCGAGTGACTCTTGAGCCTTGTAATGGGTGAAAATTATTGCAAAAAAAAAAAAAATCATTATCTATTAATCTCTACTTGACCGTACCTGTTAATATGTATTTAATATATTTTCTGTTTGTATGTTATTTTTATGGATACAATTTATTTAAGTAAATGTTCTGTTTTTTTTTAATTAAACAGTATTAATTACATTTACCAGCCTGAATGTTTGGTAAATTTCGTAGAAAATAAGCATTCTCCGACAGGAAACAAACCTGTATTCCTATAAAAAAAAACATCATTTGGTCTGACGTGCTGTACCATTCAGCTACAGAGAAGCGCCTGGTTAGCAGAATCCAAATGACAGTTTATAAACACACAATCTTCGACGATTTTTCTCGATCGATCATTTCTGTTCAAGAAGCGTATCTTAACGTAAACAATGACAACATAAAATGAAATGGATTAAGATCAACAATTATTTAATATATTTTCTGTTTATACGCTATTTTTATAGATACCATATATTTAAGTAAGTGCTCAGTTTTTAATTAAATATTATTAATTACATTTCTCGAACATTTAGGCCGGTAAATGTAATTAAAACTGTTTATTTACCAACAGAGCATTTACATAAATAAATTGTAACTATAAAAATAATGTTTAAACAGAAAATATATATATATATATATATATATATATATATATATATATATATATATATATATATATATATATATAGGTCGGTATAGATGGAATAAAATTCCGATAACCATAACCTCTATTTTTTTAAAAAGTGCTCAATACTAAGTAGAGTATAATAATATTTATTTAAAAATTATAACATAAGTAAAGGATCAACACCATTAGTTCACAAGACACCAGAAGTGTTGAAACAAAATGGCTATTTTTGTAGTAATGTTATAACATGCTTATGTTATAATATATATATATATATATATATATATATATATGAAAATTTCTCCGATTTAACCAGTAGAGAAGACAATATTAATGGGATGTAGAGAAACGCTATTTTCATATTTTTAACGGAAAATAACGTCAGTATTTGTCACGTGTGGAGAATATTGTCATTATATCTGTGTTGATGTATTCAACCATTTTCTTTTGATTTTATGAATCTGTTGTGTATATTTGTTTGTAAGAGCATTAATTTTGTTTAGAAAGGTGAAATGGGGAAAAACCTGGGCGTAGATTAATATTTGGGTAATTTTCTATGGCGGCACTCTCCAGAATTTTCCTTCTGAGTGAGTTATTTTCTTTTTTTATGAGTGTAACATTTTTAAAATCAAAATTATGGTTGAATAGCGTTTCTCTACATTCCAGTTGCTAGGAATTTTCTGTTTTTATTAGTTACTTTGTTCAATTAATTTCATTTTCGTATTTTGCTTTGATAAGGTCCACATTGGACGAAACGCGTCAGCAATTACTAGTTTTCCTGTTGTCATTTTTATTCATTAATATATATATATATATATATATATATATATATATATATATATATATATAATTCGACTTAGAGTTTATCTCTAAATGATCAGTTTTGTTTAAATTATATAGCATTATACCCTAGGGAAAATGGTGTTGCAACAACAATAGAAAACTAAGGCTTTGTATTTGCTTTTTATCAACTGATAAATAAGTAAATAAATGAAAATGAATATATGCAAAGATTATCTTAACGTTAATTGAAAAAAAAAAATAAAAAAATTGTTCCGAAAATAAATAACCGTGTTGAAAGACCCCAACGTTACAAATATTGTTATCGTGGTTCTCAAACCATAACCTACAACCAATCATAAAAGAGATGATGACTCATTTTTTATTCATAAAATGTGTCTTAAGAAGGGCGATAACCGCATTTAAGAACGGCATTTTTTTCCAGAACGTGTTCTTAAGATATACCCCTGGATGCATCTCCTTAAATATTCCTCAATAAATCTGTGACACTGAAAGCTTAAAATGAATAAGATTTTATGTATAAACATAAAATCTTATTCATTCGTAACAAAACAACTTAATTAACTTTCTATTAATTCCTACCTGTCACACCTGCTTGCATAGGTAGACATATTAATTACGTTCAGTGCACCTTACATGTTTCTGTCATATTTAGATAATGCAGCCCGTATGCGATCATGGTTCTCTTACGTTTCACTTATTCCTGGGTATGACGATAAACTACATCCGGTAGCAAGTCTTCTGATCGGGAGATTGGAGATTTTGGAGGTGCGTGGAACCATCTATTAATTGCTGTTGTTCCCAATTCCATCTTGACCCAGAATGGTTAGGCAATACATTTTTATATTAAAAAAAAAATGACCAACGGTACATATTTATAGTAAAATGACTAACCATACAATTTTAAAACAAAATGAACAGCAATACATTTTGTCTGTCGTTGAAGGCATACAACTGCGTTCAACTTATTTAGATTTCGGCATTAAATAACCCATATAAGTGTTGATATGTCATTAAACAAAATCAAACACCCAACCAACATGAAAGAACTTTTATGACAGTAATCCATCTAATATTCTACAATTTCTTAAAGCTGAGTATCATATACCATGCATTCAATTGTGAAAGCAGAATAACATATATTTATTATTACTTCAAAGCTCCCCCAAATTAAATTTCAGCATTAAATGACCCATAAGAAGTTGATGTGCTGTTAAACAAATTAACCAACCAGTTTCATTTACTTTAGTATCTGTGGATTGCCATGTCTATCATTAGAAGAAAAGGATACAAGTGCCGCCTGGAAAAGTTATACCGGGTGGGAATTTTTTAAGACTCATTAAATAAGCGTGTCGGTTCAAATAAACGTTCCGCCATGCTTTAAAAAAATGTTTAATAAACGTGTAATAAAATAATCGTGCTTAGGAGAAAACTATTGTAAAATGTAATATGGAATCCGAGGGCGTATTAGAATAGCCAAAGATGCATTCCAAAAGCTAAGCAGAGTATTAGGAAATAGAAAAAAATTCAATAGAAATAAGGTAAAGTGTACTAAGCTGTTACGTAATATCTGTCCTCCTGTATTGCAGTGATTGCTGGACAATCTTCTCAAAGATGAAGAGGAGACTTGAAGCAATAGAAAAGTAGTTCTACAGAATGATGCCGAGGAGACCATGGTTCGAGCAACGACGAAATTTTAAAGGAAGCTTATACTTAACATCAGGAAGAGACAGTTGAGGTTCCTAGGGAACATAATGAAGAAAGGGGGCTTGGGAAATTTGATACCCACAGGAGAGATTAAAAGCAAGAGAGAGAGAGAAAAACAGTGCATAACATATTTAATAAAAGCTTGAGTAAATGAATGGCGGAACAGGGTTTAGGCGAAATATCAGAAATACAAAATTTATTAAGATCTACATGAGACAGGAATTTGTGTATAGAGTCGTGATCCTGAGGGGACATGGCACATAATGAAAGAATGCATGTCGTTCCAAATAAGTGTCATACCGGGAGAAAATGGAAGGGAGAAAATGGCCGTGCTGGTATTTATATTTGAGTAGAATGGTTTCCAGTTTTCTTCTCTAAGATTTTGAATTCAGAGTTTTCCTTCTAGAGTAGTTGCCCACCAAAGCTAAAGAGCCCAGTTTGCTCTACTATTTTACCCATAGCTAAGACGCCATGCCATATACAGGAGGGTTGGGCTAGCCATTCACATTATCTTCGTATTACATTGGTAAGAAGAAATTTCCATTCGAGCAGCCTTTTTCAAAGAGCCGATACTTCATGGAAAAAAGGATGTTTCTCCAAGGACTACAATCTTAAACAGGAAAACTTTGGTCAGCCATTACTTATCCTACCTATCCTCATAATTTATACTTATTTCCCCCACTCCATTTAGTAACCCTTTGTCTTGAGTGGCTCTTTGGTATTGTTTTCGGTGAACATATTAGTAAAAAAATAAAATAAAAACCTATAGATGAGAAGAGGTGCATTCATCCCTTTTCCAAGGGTATTAGTCCGAAGTGAATGCAACGCACTCCGCGTTGGATTACTGATTCAGTTTCCACGCTGCTAGCTATTACATCAATCACACATTCACTTAATGTATTACAGAAAAAAAAAATTGTGAACTGGAAGTGGGTTCGAACCCTGTTTAAAGAAAAAAGCCGAGCATGTAATTTTCAGAGAATCTTTAAGGAATTTGTACTTATTAGTGTTTTATTTTCTTTTATATAAGTTTCTTTTTCTCAAAATAAGTACACTTTGGTCATCATCAGATGTTCATTGATTGGCTGATATGTGATATCTGTTGTTTATTGTGATTGAACTGATGATCACTAGATGATGGTAAGTGATGTATAATAATAATCTCAGAAATTAAATACTAAGTTTCTTTTTGCCTGTAACTTTTTACTTTAACTTTTATTTGACGACTGTCAAGATCAGATAAGCCCCAAAATCTGTGAAACAGTTAATGTGAACTCGAAAATCTTTTCAAAGGTCGTATTATAATATGCGCTTCGCCAGTACTATAAACCACTTTTGAATTCAGAATTATCCTTCTTATAAACTGGTTACCCAACTGGGAGAAGAGATGGATTAATACCTTTTTTTTTAAGTGAATGTAATGAATTCAATCGGAATTCGAAATCACCTTTTGCCAGTTTTGTTTTCCAATATGTTCTTTTAGACGATAAACCTAAAGTATAATTTAGCAAACAAAAACTGTAAATCGCCAGATAAAACAATATTGTTTTCGTTATTTTACAGTTTTAAAAATTTCAAAAGATATTAATACATTTATCAAGTACTTTCTTTCTTTCTTTCTTTCTTTCTTTCTTTCTATCTATCTATCTATCTATCTATCTATCTATCTAAGTTTGTTCGCATCTATCTATCTATCTATCTATGTTCATATCTTAGGAAAATCAATACAGCAAACCTTACCAAAGGTTATAAATATTAGACACATTTTTTCAAAAACCACAACGTTTGGGTACAGGCATGGTTTCTAGGTCAGAGCATCTTTACCAATAACCGAGTGTCCCTCAGCCCTACTTGCTGATGTCATCTAGCTATCCGAGACTGCCATATTTATCTATCTATCTATCTATCTATCTATCTATCTATCTATCTATGAATACACAAGTTCAAAACATTGCCCATCTAACAAAAGCATCTCCCCTGTACCTTACACACTTCCAGACCCCACACCGGCAACTGATCATCTGAACAACATTTTACCCCATTTTCCTCTAATTTTTCTCCGTTGGACAATAGCGCTGATGTCTCCAAGCCAATCTTCACCGAATCGCTCCACACACTTTACTCATCGTTCACCTTTCCGATCCGTCATACTACCCACAGACCAACGCACCTTACCTTCTGTTCTTTGGCCCGACCCACTTCACCCCCATACTCTCACAGTGAACCCTTCCAATTTAGTCAGTACTGAATGTTGAAGGTGGGTGTCATAGAGGCGGGGACGTCGGTCCAAAAGACGGTTGTATGGGTTGGATGGCAATAGGTTGGTGCGTCTTTATTTATTCATTATTCGCCTAACGCCGCACACAGTTCTTCCCTACCCGACTGCCTGTTAAAGTGACGGCCGTTGATTGTCCGGTTATTGTCTAAGGAACAGCACCACTCATACGACAGAGTGGCAGAACAAATTAAATGCACCGAGAAACAACGCAAGGGAAATGACCTCTGCAACACCTCTGCACGAAAACTGCATCCTCTATTTTATTTTCCACCTTTCTCTTCATCTTAATCTTCACCTTTCTCTCCATTCAACTCTCTAATTTACTCCACCCCTTACTCTTCACTTAATTCTGACTTTATTATCTTACTCTCCATTTTCACTCTTTGTGTATTTCTGTATTTTAATCTTTCTCTCTAAATTCTATCTCTCTCAACGTCTCTCTTTCTCTCATCATCCACTCTCTTTCAGCTTTATATCTATCTGCTTTGAACCCTTACTTTGTTTCTGTCTTTCTCATTCTCCTTCTTCAAGTTATACATTTAAACTCGCTATAGTCGTCTGCCGTATAGCGAGTGTTCTTACAAGTCATTGCTAGTTTATCTGATCGCTAATGACATTTTTTCATCAATTTCACCCCAAGAAAGGCAGTAAAGCCACTAAGACACAGGGGTAACTAGGTGTGGAAACTTTACTAAGGAACAAGAATAAAAGAATGGTAATCAGGAGGATAGTCGTAAGCGATTGACACTGCATTTAAAATTTGAAGATTAAAGTTGGCTAGAAAGCATGGGGGCGGCAGAGAGTACCCTAAGCGAGAAAAGAAACTCTTAGCATAGAACCTACGGCTACATCTCCAACTCAACTGTAAATTGGTTAGACCTCGTCACCAGTCTAGTACTGAGCTTAGACTAGGTACCATGGCGAAGAGTGGTATTTATCTGTAATTTATTTACAAAATGTGGCACAAGGCCAAATTGAGGAATGAGGAAAAAGGGCGGTCTTCATCTGTCTTTAAACTTACCTAGCCACAAATACTGACCCAAACATACCACAATAATCCTAGCACCAAACCAACACATTCTTACTTACCTTTCTTACTACACCCACCGTAATACCTCATTGTCTCTATGAAAATCCTAACTAGTCCCATATGTAAAATTCATTGTCTGTGTGGGGGAGGGGAATAAAGCAACAATTTAAAAACTAGACCCAATGAGTATTTACAATATGAAAACAAAACTATTTACAAGAAACCAAATAAAATAATGTTAGTTATCCCCCCCTCCAATCATTAAATGTGACAGAAACATTAGTTAACTGGACGAAATCAATGCGGGATTATAATAATATAAAACATTCATTCATCCCAAGCATTCACTCAAACAGACATTCATTCAAACACAACAACAAATACGAAAACACACACGCGAAACGAAAGGCGCTCCGAATCCACCAGCGAACTGACATCACTGCCCACCTAACGAGGGAGGGGATGGGGAATTAAACTAAAGAAAAATAGAGGCAGAGATGAAAGGGGTCAATGAGCAATCATCCCATTGCTAAGTTAACTGAAATGAAGAAAATAAAGATGCAAAAGAACATATATATATATATATATATATATATATATATATATATATATATATATATATATACTTAAGGTGTGGTATATTTATGGTATAAAGTGCTAAATATCAGAGATAGAGCGTGTGTAAATATAAAAGTGAACATTGAAGTCAACACTTAATTGGCCTGACGATTGCGTCTATCATGAAACAGCCTGTCGCCTCTAAGTGTTGACTTCAATGTTCATATATATATATATATATATATATATATATATATATATATATATATATATATATATGTCTATATTTCTGAGATGAGGTATTATGTACATTATTTACATTATTCGGACTATTGTCCTCATCTTTGTACGCTCCGGCCTTCTTCAGGTTGTTGGAATATCGAACTGAACCCTTTATTTTGCTCTCTGGGGTAAACTGTTCTAGTTCCACATGCCATGTCTAATGGATGTCAGTTATCAGTTAAAGGCGTTAGTTAGATCCAGTGACAGGACCCAAAGAGGACCCAAAGAGTGTGAGTTCAATACCCGGCAGTGGAGAACTTTCAGAGGGGAATTAATGGCGACATAGATGAGGACAATAGTCCGAATAATGTAAATAATGCAAAAGGTACCATGAACTAGCTTAATTTCCATGGAGAAGAGGTCATCCGAATAGTTGTCATGGTAGTATTTATAGAAAAGGCACAGGGAGGCAAACCTATGGCAGTGAAAAAGTGACTGAAACCGAGATGCCAGATTAGGACGAATAATATTGCAGAATCTTCTTTGGATTTTATCAAGGATCTTTAGATGTATAGCTGGAGCACCAGACCATATATGGTAGCGATATTCTAAGCATGGACGAATGGTAGATTTATAAATATGGAAGAGAAGAAAATTATCTATCGCGACACAGTAAACCGATATTCTTAGCTGCTGATCTAGCAAAGGATTCAATATGGTATTTCCAGTTCATATCAGCCGAGAACGTTAGCCTGAGAATCCACCAGGAGGCTAACATCAGCCATGTTGATGGAAAGGGCGACTGTTCAGATATTGTGTCAAACGCGGCTTGGTTTTACGTAAAAACAAATTTTTCATTATATTTACAAAAATAAATAAAATTAATTCTATTCTCTACTTTTCTCTGATTTTATCTCACCAAAATCATCAAATGTTTTCACCTTTTAATTGTTCTTACGGTTTTTTGTTCGACTGTTTGAACCAATCAAAATATTTTGCATTCAATATAAGAATTCGTATAAAACAGAACTCAATCGCCCTTTTCTTACTACATGTTGATCTCTCTCTTTCTCTTTCTCTCTCTCTCTATCTCTCTTTATTTTCTCTTCCTTGTACCCTCCTCTTCTTCCCCCTTTTCTTTCTTTCTTTCTTTCTTTCTTTCTTTCTTTCTTTCTTTCTTTCTTTCTACGGTCATATCAATTTGAAACAACAGTTCTCGTAAGATCAGTGAAGTTAAACAACGTCGTGCCAAGGTGGGTGGCCGTTTCGGAATACCACGTGTTGTAAGCTTTTATGTGGGTGGTAGTGTTATGAATAACAACACCACTTCTCCCCCAGCTATGGGTTAATAAGTAGGACTCGTATCATTAAATCATTATTAGCTCCAAAAGATTCTTACAATCTAAAAATATGTTTCTGGCTTTAAATAACCTGCAAAAAAAGTTGAAAAGCCATAAAAAACAAATCAATCAATTGTTTGTTTGTTTCTCCCAGATATGTTTTATATGGTAATAGTTATGGTGGCTAATCTGGGCTTTCCTTTACATGTAAACAGGTAGTCGACCAAGTTACGCTTAGGATATGCACACGAGGGATAAACGGATGGTGTATAAGCGTCACACCCAAGAGAGTAAAAACCTCTCTCTCACGTTTATACGAGAGGAAATACCACGTTCGGAGAAAGACCCCAGAGCCACAAGCACCTTTAAGTCAAACGCACCGTTGACGAAATCTAGAGGTGAATAACAATAATTTGAGTGATTTAGTTTTCTGTTCTGATTGGCTTTTTTTTTTTTTTTTTTTTACAAATTTTCACTCAGTGTAAGGCCCAAGAAGATTCGCTCGAGGTAAAGAATTACTGAATCAGGCTTGTACGAGAAGGAAGTAGGAAATTAACATTATGAGGATATAAAACAGTTGACCCTAAAGTTGAAGAGGTTAACACTGCAGTGTTCAAAGAAGTCTATTCCACAAAGTAACAGTTCTGTGACAAAAGGTGTCTAAGTGGAATTTACCAATGGAATACGAAGGAAATGAAAATGGGCTTACCAAGTGTACCTGGCGTGATGGGTCTTAGCTCTGAAGGCCTGAAATGGTGGAACTAAAAAATGTATTTTTTCGGTGCATAATTATCAGGCGTTTTTGTAGGCGAGCTATTTGTTAATAAAAATTAGTTTTGTCTACTTTTTTTCAATAAAAATATTATTTTATTTTCAGGCTATAAAGATCCGTGTCGATAATCATACCCATTTAAAAATGTTATTGTTCAAGTGTTATGTTTCTTTTTTCATAACAAATATTGTTTAAAAAAAAACGCCTGATAATTATGCACCAACTCAATAGCTCGCCTAAACATCTGCCATGAAAACAGCGAGACACTAGCAACGCTTCGTCTGTAGAATAGGGGTTGCAGGGTGGAAAACATTTCATCACCCACATGGCCGCGTAAATGATTTTGAACCCTCTCAAGGCTGGAAGGTTAGAATAGGGCAGCTTCGGGACAGACACGGCAGCAATAACCCGTTTTCGCTCTGAGCTGACTCTTATTAGTTAAAGCATTTCAGAAGGAATCAGGTACTTTTTGAAACGATAGAAGGAACCGACCCCCAAACTTCTTTGGCGATGGGTGGTATATAGGAGTTCCACTTCAACGATGTATGTATAATTGGGGAGGAAAAGTGGTCAACTGGTAATTATACAAACACCTGGGATTTGACTGCAAATGAGAGAAAATCTAAGAAAGTAGATACCTATGTTCCAGCAGATAATTAAAACGTCCCCAAAACAAAACTGCTACCAATTAATCATCATAGAAAACTCTTCAACTTCCATCAGTATGGCTGATGCTAACCTCCAGGAGAGTTATTAATTGCGCCTTTTTTGGGGGGTCACGTTTTCCACTGAAATGAAGTGGAATGATTATATTGCATCAATTGTTAGCTCTAGTGCTAGGAAAGTTGGTTCACTAAGCCATGCCAGCCAATTTTTCTAGTTAGAATAGATCTTTTCATATTTATAAATCTACCATTCGTCCGTGCATTTAATATTGCTGCCATATCTAGTCTGGTGTTCCTGCTATATATATCTCAATATTTTTGACAAAATCTAAAGAAGTTAATCGGTCCTAAGATGGTATCTCAACATCATTCCCTTTCCCACCGTCGTGATGTGGCTTTCATCTATCTTTTTTCTATAAATACTTTCATTGAAATTGTTTTGATGAGCTTTACTCTTTGGAGCTTTTACTGTATGAATTTAAGCAACTACTAGATTGGCAACTAGGTATCACCATATTACTGCTGAACTAACTAGATAGAACCGTAAATTCTATTCCAACAGTTTCTTGTTTCTTTGCTACCCACAAAAAATTAAATGCAACGCCTTGCATCATCTTCAGAATATTTGAATTCTGTTCTTTTATTGTTTTTTCTTCTTACTATAGGTCTTCTCATTGACTTTCACTCCCAGTAACCCCTTGTGTCTTAGTGGTATTATCGACATCTGTTTTCTTGGAACCTGTTCTTTTATTGACCTTTCTCTTTCACTCCTAGTAAGCCCTTGCGTCTTAATGGCATTATCGGCATCTTCTGTTTTCCTGAAACCTGTTCTTTTGTTGTCCTTTCTTCTCACTAAAATCTTGCGTCTTAGTGACATTATTGATTTGCTTGGAGTAAAATGATTTAAAAAAAATCGACAAAAGAAAATTGAACGAAAGCGAAAAAATTTGGTGAAAATAAATAAAATTCTGTTAAATCTGTGTGTTATTATTGTTAAAGTTATTTGCTTTCATAATGATACTGGCAAAATAGTTGAAGAGTCTATTTTACCGGGATCGGCAAAATAGCCTAATCTGAGATTTATTCACATTGTTTACAGACTAAATAATCTTAGCTGTTACACTCATAATTTTTCGATCGTTTTAGCTTCTGATCTTCTTCAGGTGTCAGAAAATCCAGGTACCTTCAAGAAATTTTAAACTGAAACCTTTTGGGAGTT